TTATGTCGTTCATTGAACCCTCAGAGTCACCAGATCCGATTTACTTCCGCAAGTTGGAAGCGCTGCCTCCACTCGGCAGCCAATCAGAAGCCAGCCTCCACGTCGGAATCGACAATCACCGTCGCGGTTTTTTTTGTTTTGTTTTGTTTAGTTTTTTTAGGTCGCGCAAACACTGTGGATTACGGTAGAAATGCCTGACACGAGGTTTCAAAATAAGAGCATTACAGGTGCTGGTCATAAAATTAGAATATCATGAAAAAGTAGATTGATTTCAGTAATTCCATTTAAAAAGTGAAACTTGTATATTATATTCATACATTACATACAAACTCATATATTTCAGATGTTTATTTTGTTTAATTTTGATGATTACAAATGACAACAAATGAAAATCTCAAATTCATCATATCAGAAAATTAGAATATTGTGAAAAGGTTCAAAATTGATGGCCCCTGGTGCCACACTCTAATCAGCTAATTAACTCAAACCACCTGCAAAAGCCTTTAAATGGTCTTTCAGTCTAGTTCTATAGGCTACACAATCATGGGGAAGACTGCTGACTTGACAGTTGTCCAAAAGACGACCATCGACACAAAAGGTCATCGCTAAAGAGGGTGGCTGTTCACAGAGCTCAGTGTCCAAGCACATTAATAGAGAGGCGAAGGGAAGGAAAAGATGTGGTTGAAAAAAGTGTACAAGCAAGAGAGATAACCGCACCCTGGAGAGGATTGTGAAACAAAACCCCTTCAAAAATGTGGGGGAGATTCACAAAGAGTGGACTGCAGCTGGAGTGAGTGCTTCAAGAACCACCACACACAGACGTATGAAAGACATGGGTTTCTGCTGTCGCATTCCTTGTGTCAAGCCACTCTTGAACCACAGACAGCGTCAGAAGCGTCTTGCCTGGGCTAAAGAGAAACAGGACTGGACTGCTGGTGAGTGGTCCAAAGTCATGTTCTCTGATGAAAGTAAATTTTGCATTTCCTTTGGAAATCAAGGTCCCAGAGTCTGGAGGAAAAGAAGAGAGGCACTTCATCCACGTTGCTTGAAGTCCAGTGTAAAGTTTCCACAGTCAGTGATGGTTTGGGGTGCCATGTCATCTGCTGGTGTTGGTCCATTGTGTTTTCTGAGGTCCAGGGTCAACGCAGCCACATACCAGGAAGTTTTAGAGCACTTCATGCTTCCTGCAGCTGACCAACTTTTTGGAGATGCAGATTTCATTTTCCAACAGGACTTGGCACCTGCACACAGTGCCAAAGCTACCAGTACCTGGTTGAAGGACCATGGTATCCCTGTTCTTAATTGGCCAGCAAACTCTCCTGACCTTAACCCCATAGAAAATCTATGGGGTATTGTGAAGAAGAAGATGCAATACACCAGACCCAACAATTCAGAAGAGCTAAAAGCCACTATTAGAGCAACCTGGGCTATCATAACACCTGAGCAGTGCCACAGACTGATCGACTCCATGCCACGCCGCATTGCTGCAGTAATACAGGCCAAAGGAGGCCCAACTAAATACTGAGTGCTGTACATGCTCATACTTTTCATGTTCATACTTTTCAGTTGGCCAACATTTCTATAAATCCTTTGTTTTTATTGGTCTTCAGTAATATTCTAATTTTCTGATATGATGAATTTGAGATTTTCATTTGTTGTCATTTGTAATCATCAAAATTAAACAAAATAAACATCTGAAATATATGAGTTTGTATGTAATGTATGAATATAATATACAAGTTTCACTTTTTAAATGGAATTACTGAAATCAATCTACTTTTTCATGATATTCTAATTTTATGACCAGCACCTGTATCTATACGACATACACATATATGAATTTATATGCTTTATGCTGTTCCTTTCTTGCATTCTGCCTCTAAATATATTTAACTAAACTTTTTTTTTTTTTTTTTTTTTACAGCTGGTGCCTTTAATTTAGAAGGATAACGGAACACCTCCAAGTGTGTCTGAAAAAAACCTTCATTAACATCTTATGTGGAATTTCAGAATTGAGCAAAATGACAGACATCAAATCATTACCATATTTGTTTTTAGTGGATGCTTTCAATTCAGTGATAGTAGTGTTGCACCGATACCAGTATCGGACGGGGCCCCGATCCAGCACTAAAATGGTGGCATCAGTATCGGTGAGTACCAACAAATAGCGCGCCGATACCATTCCGGGAGCCAAAATATAATTCAACTATTGTCACCCATTCCAGGCAATTAATCTTAAGTGGAATTATTTACAGAAAACTAGTATTGTAGCATCAATAGTGATGGCAACTTCAATCAAAGGGAAGCTGTGCCGTGGGTTTGAGGGGCCTTACTTTTGAAATTGAACATCAGATCTCTAATAAACTTTGTTAGGAACACCAAGATGAGTTCTATTATCAGTCTGAAATGGAAGAATTGACTGAAAACAAATAGTTTAGCTGCAATAATGACAGCAATCTAAGTCATAGTGATTAGGTGTAGAGATTTTGCAGGGCTTATTGAGCCACATCTATAGATGTTTCAAAAAGGAAGCATTCCTGAAAACCAATAGTTTAACAGCAATATTGATGGCAGCCTGGGTCAAAGTGAGTCAGTTTAGAGATTTTAGGGGCTTTAATTTTAAAATTGCTCATCAGATGTTAATGAAACTTTGTGAGTCACATCTTTAGGTATTCCACCTTCATGTCAGTGTGTTCCATAAAAAAAAAGTTTAGTAGCAAGATTTACAGCAACTTCGTTTGGAGTGTAGAGATCATTTGGGGCTTTAATTTTGAAATTCCACATCCGATTTCACATCAACAGGTTCAGTCACATTTGAGATTTTAAGTTGTCATTCTAAATTGAAATCATTTACTGAAAAAAAAAAAAAAAACAGTTTAGCAAAAAGACTGACAACGATGTTGCTCAAGCAGACAAAAACTGCAGGTTTTGAGGGGCTTTGATTTTGAAATTCCACCTGCTTTAATTCGGCTATTATGATTTATTTGGAGAGCCTCATCTGTCACCTGTATGTACAAGTAGTTATGTGAAAACATTTCTAAAAGCATTTATTGAGTCTAATAAGAGTGAATAAAATTTACATTTGAAGTACTAAAATACTTAAATACTTACTGTCAGGCCTCAAAAAATATATAGTATGAAGCAGAAGAAATTGTTAACTTCAGTCACAGATGTAAAGAAAAAGAAGAACAAGTGTAGATATTATGTAAGAATTACAGTTCTTATTTTGAAACATAATCTCGGAAGTTGCTACCGTATTTCTTAGTGTTCACGCGACCCTAAAAAAACGCATCAGTATTGGTTTGTCTGTTGATTCCAAAGGATGGTTTGATCCCGGTTTCAGACCGCAGGGGCGATAAAAACGCCTTCACGAAACCATTAAAAAGTACAAACCCTTTCTGAAAAGATAATAAAAAAGAAAAAAGAAATTGGTTTGAACTGTTGTTGAAAACAGCAACTCAATAAAGAAAAAGAAAAAGCAGCCATTTCTGCTTTTATTCTTAGTATTCAGATTTTTAATCGAGGAATTCTTACTATATTCTCCCAATTATTCTCATGTAATATTTATTTTTTTACTAAAGTGATGATCCTGGATTTTGGTAACCTTAATATATAGACTTAATAATAATTTAAAAAAAAAATCAGAATTCTAAAAATAAAGTCAGAATATGGTAATAAAATCAGAATCCTACCATAAAATCAGGATTTTACGGAAGAGGATTAGGGCCAGTGGAAAAAAAAAAAAAAGTTAACTGATTTTTAAATTTTATTTCAGTTTAGTATGGGAAAAAAGTCATAATTCTGGGAAAAAAGTCAGAATTCTGACTTTTTTAAAAATGTTAAACTGAAATAAAATTAAAAAATCGGTTAACTTTTTTTTTTTCAGTGGCCCTAATCCTCTTCCATAGGATTTAGAGTTCTAAAATTAGAGTCAAAATTCAACTGCCCTTTTCTTTGAGTGGCCATTTTCTAAGAGCCCTAATACCCTTCCATAGTTAATTCTGTAAACGATGCGAAGAAGATTTATATAATTTATTTCAGTCCTGCCCTATCTCATGTACATTTTGGAAAGACAATTGCATACTTATTTCCTTAAACAATTTTAACAACCTTTCCTCACCTACGACGATTTATTGTTTGGATTGTTAAATTATCCTGCTATTAAAACAAACCAATTTATATCATTATTCCATTTTTCTTACGAGGAAAAACTTAAATTCTCCAGGCACAAACCCATCCTTCCAAATCTTTAAACAGCAGCTGAAACAGCATATTCTGATGCTTTAAAATTCAAAATCCTCTACAATATGGGGAAAAAAGGCATGACTTCAATCCCAAGATGTGTGGATCCATCTGGTTCCCAGACAAAAGGCACATTCATACTCATATGGAGAAACAAGATTTCAGATTTAGTCAAATTTACTTTGTATTCAGAAATCTGTTCTAAACTTTTTCACGCAAATGATTAGTGCAGATTTTGAGTTTTGTGGGTCTTTAGATATCAATAGGAAGTCATCCGCATATAGTAGAATATTGTGCTCTGTGGTTCATATCACCGTTCCTTTGATAGAGTTTTTTTTTCAGACAGCAATTGCTAATGGCTCTATAGCTAGAGAAAATAACAGAGGTGAACATTGAGACCGAGGCAGTTGGTATTTTATATAAAAGTTGTACCCACAGAAAAAAAAAATCTGATTAAAAACCAAATCTTTTCAATACTTCAAGCATTTATCATCATTCAATACGATCAAATGCTTTTTCTGCATCCATCCTTACAATAGCACTTAGATCGTGAATAATGTTGATTAAACGTCTTGTGTTGTTTGATGAAGTACAGTCAGTCATAAACCCGGTTTGGTCTGTGTGAACTATATCAGCCACCACTCTCTCCAGGCAGTTGGCCACTATTTCTGAGAGTATTTTTACATCTGCTCCTGTAGGCTAATGGGACAATAAAAGGGACATAAAATGGATCTTTCCCTTTTTTGAGGATGATTATAATATGAGCCAAGTCCATTGATTTGGGGAGTTCATCCCCTTCAAAAGATTTGTTGAACATACATTGTAGTAGTTTGATCATTGTAATTTTCTTATTTTTATTAAACTGAGCAACAAATCCCAGAGATGGAGTATCTGGGGTCAACAAGTCATCTCTATGCCCTCGAACTCAACGCTATTCCTGGTGTTTTTAATTGGAAACAGCTTCCTGGATGGGAAGCGAAACGTCTTAGAACTTGCAAACAAATTCCGGTGGATTGTTTTTAATTTTCTATTTTTGGAATCTCTATGTCACGTATTTGTGCTACCCAGCCACTAAACAAGGTGAGTCCAAATTGCACAGATTAATTAACTTTGCAGATTGGACTCACCTGCTTTTAGTGGCTGGGCAGAAAAAAATCATGACAGAGATTAACTGCAGACCCCAGATACCTAATCTCTGCCAAATCCAGCAGCTCCTTGACTTTTATCTGATATCTATCTCTGTTACTGTAACAGGTCCTTCCAGCAGTTTAGCTCATTCATCCATTAGCTGAGGTATCTGTAATTCATCTAGAAAAATGACTCTATGCTAATGTAGCATCATCCAGTCCTGAGGCATACAGCGTTTTATAAAACATCTGAAAACAATAATTAATCTTTGTATTATTCTTTTGAGGACCCATCAGATGTTGCAGAAATAAAGTTTTCTCTGGAGAACTTCTTGCAAGCCGAGCTAATTATTATTATTTTTTTCCTACTTGCTTTGATTCTGTTTTATTTTCCTTTATTTTAATCATGTAAAGCACTTTGCATTGTCTTTGTACTGAATTGTTCCATACAAATAAATTTCCCTAGCCTTGCCTAATGATTTCTTTATTTAAGAACATTTCTTTGCCTTTAAATCATAATAAACACACCTTTAAGTGAATTGTTTTCACTTATTTAATTCTTTTAAACACTCATACAATTATCTAGTTAATGTGTTTACTTCCAGTTTATGTTTTCACATATATATTTAACAACTTACATATTTAATTAAACTATTGCAGCACTTTAGATATTCCTTTTCATTATTGAAATGATATTAAAAACATCACTTTCGTATGACCTTATTTATTATAAATTAATATACAATATTCCACACAGGATGTGTGACAATATAGTTTAAGTACCACTGAACTGGACTTGACACTGATATTTTATTAATGTACGCAATTATAATTTCATTAGTTACACAAAGAGAGATTTACAAAATAAGACTTTTTTTTTTTTTTTTACATGTGTGGAAACAGCTTTTTTTTGTGTGTATTTGGTTCCACTTTGTTCTTGTCTGACCTGTAAACATCAATCTTCCTTTGACGGAATTGGAAAAATCACACATAGAATCACACACTGTGTGAGAGTGCGAGTGTAAGAAAATAACACAATGGATAACTTCACAGTCAAACTATTGGTTTCCATTTTTTTTTTGCTTTTATATGAACTGTCCCCTCGATCTGCAGACAAACGGTTCAGTATGCGACCGCCCACCTTCCAAACACGTCTCATTCACAGTAGGGTTCTTTAACTGGTCTTTTGAGAAAAAAGTGCTGCTTATGCTTTAGCCTTTACTTTCTTCGCCAGCCGGGTCCGCGTTGGCTCGGTTTGGACGAGGGGTTCCTGGATGACCGTGGCTGGGTACTTCTTGCCCAGCAGCTCCACCTCCACCTGCTGCCCCACAGAGCACAGCTCCAGGGGCAGGTAACCGAACGCCAGGCTCTGCTGGCTGCTGTAGCTGTAAGCTCCAGACGTAGTGTTGCCGACCACCTGAGCAAGAGTCGCCTGTTTTAGTCGACCTCAAACGACAAAAACGAGGGTTTTATCACTTGCTACCCACCTTGCCGTTGTGCCAAATGGTTTCGTTGCCTTCTGGGTCGATGTCGTCCGTTTTAACGGAGAGGTAGGAGAGCTTCCTCTTCAGGCCGTTGGCTTTGATCTCCTGAAGCGCTGCTTTGCCAATAAAGTCAGCCGGCTGCTCGTAGCAAATATTGTGTGTGACAACAATTGAAAAGATACTGAAATATGAGCTCTACATAAAACAAGCAGTTACCTTGTTGAGTTTAATGAAGTAGTCCAGTCCAGCCTCCAGAGGATTAGTGTCACAGTTCATCTGAAATGAAGGTTCCCATTAATAAAAAAGCAGGAAAAGGGCAATGAACAGTTTTTACCTTTTAAACTATTTCCATTTTTCTTGAGTTATAAATGCAGCAGTGGACACAGGAATTGTGGGCACTGCTGATGAAAGCGATTACATTCATGGTTTAAATGCTAACCGCCATCCATGCTTGAAAGCTGGTACTTTATTTTACCACTGGGAAACATGGTGGTGGCTGCATATGCTGTGGGGATACTGATTTTCCAGTGAAGAGGAAGAAGTTGATTTAAAGCACAGCATTAATGGGATTAGATTAAACAGGCGGACTCATTTCAACCACCAATTTGGAGAAACTTAAAAAAAGCTGCATGTAGGATGTTGCATTTAAATGTTATCGGATCAAAGGGGGAAGTTTACTAAAGCACAACATTATTGTCTAATATTTAATACTAAAATATCTTTCTCCTTTACATTTATGAACCACATTGTGTTTTTCTGTCACAGCAGTTACCAAACTTATTCTTGCTTGACACATTTTTAGTTTTAGTACTCACTAAAATACTCACTTATTTAATTAATTTCTACAATTACCACTGCAATTACACCTGTAAGTAAAATATTCTTAAATTACGTGTAATAATAAGATGATCTACCAATGGAAAGAGAATTTCTGCTTTAAAATAAGCTCATTAGGTCTTCTACACTAATTATAAGATAATAGAGGTTTTTATTTCTTATTTTAAATAAAAATAAACTAATTCCTTGGGGAAATTGTCTTACTTATCAACTAAAACTAAGAGAAAATACATTTATTTGAAGAAAATAATGGACTTACCACAGTTTCAATTTTTGCAGTGTAACATAACAAAAGTAAAAATGTTAAGATGATGAAAGCAAAGCTTTAAATAGTTTTTACTGCTAATTTAGACTGCTAATTCTGTTTTATTTTGTTTTTTTAGGTACATGGTTTCATCTTGCCCTGCGTCAGGGTGTACCCTGCCTCTCGCCCGTAGACTGCCAGCCCCACTAATACCCTGACAAAGACTAAACTGGAGAAAACGCATGGATGGATGGTTCCATCTTCCCTTAATGTCCCATTAAATTGGGATTTTTCTATATTTTAAGGTTGGAAAATAAAAAAGTAGAAGGCAGAATATGTAAGGTCATTGGTAGACTGCTGTCTGTCTGGAAGCTTTTAAAAATAAATAGAAGAGAAAAAGAAGACGTGTTTTTAGCCGTTCTTCATCTTATCTGTTTTAGAACCACTTCTCTTTTCTTTTTTCTTTCCATTGACTTTTTATCCCTTTTCATGACCTGGAACACGTCCACATTGACCTTAAAGCATTTAACAAAATGACTCAGATCTGCTCTAACTGTCATCTGCAGTGATGGGAGTAACGGCGTTGAAAGTAACGTCGTTACTAACGCTGTTACCTTGTTTTAATAACGAGTAATCTAACCAATTATTTTGACTGTAACTATAACGCAGTTACCATTGCAGACACCCCGTTACTGCGCGTTACTCAGGTCGAACGATGAACCTTTTTTCATGATAGGACTCGTGCGCGCCTTGTCATGAGAGAGGGGAGGATGGGATTGGCTGATGTATAGTGAGATTCCGTCTGTCAGTTGGGTAGGTGGGTGTTTTCGCTGGCGGGTGTTAACGTACAGCACACACAGAGAGATGGAGAGTGAGGATGACCCCAGCAGCAAAACAGCGTTTTCCAGATGGAAATACCGGTGTTACCTCGAGCTGCATTTCCCCATCAGATACGGTTTCCCCTGCATCTCCCCACAGCGCAGGCAGCACGATTCACCGCGCAAGCGACAGGAAACGCGCTCGCTAAGGGCGCGCAACAGTCGCCCTGTGCTCGCGCCACAGGAGAACTATGGAGAGCGTGAACGATTAAATGATAGCCTACATGGAGAAAGGGAGAAATCTGGATGGATGGATGGATGGATGGATGGATGGATGGATGGATGGATGGATGGATGGATGGATGGATGGATATTCTGCCTTTTTAAACTACTGTATTTTTAATTTTAAACATTATTCGATGGCCTTTGTGGCAGGGATGGAGATCCATATTTTATGTCACACACACACACACACACACAGACAGACAGACAGACAGACAGACAGACAGACAGACAGACAGACAGACAGACAGATAGATAGATAGATAGATAGATGTTGCAGTATCTATAACAACCCAAACACACAGGATTTCAGAATTAGACATCCCCAGTTATTAATTTCATATACTCAACAGATCTGAATGCCCTGTTAAAAAACTTCACATCGCGTTCCCCCCTGATGTCATTTACGTTGAGTTGCAATAAATGCTAAACTCTCTGCAGGTTCTTGTCTTTGTCGTCCGCTCTATTCAGCTGGCTTTTGAAACACACAGCGAGAAGGTGGGGGCTGGGTGGTGAGGGTTACGGGGGCGAGAAACGCAAAAGTAACGCAATAGTTACTTTTACTAGTAACTAGTTACTTTTATTGTGGAGTAACTCAGTTAGTAACTCAGTTACTTTTTGGGAGAAGTAACTATAACTAATTACTTTTTCAAAGTAACGTGCCCAACACTGGTCATCTGTGTGAAGAAGTCTTAATATATCACAGACATAAAGCTGCCACACTTTGATTCTGCATGAACAGCTTATATTATGTTTGAAGAACTCTCTTATGACTTAGGAAAGATTAGAAATTGGTCCTGTCGAGGAATAAAAGAATAAGAACAAGTGTATCAGTAAACTTCTAAGACATCTTTCTCTGCTAAAAGTGGCATTCAGAAAGAACCTGAAAATATGCAGAGCTTATCAAATAATAATCTGAACGTTGTTTCATTTTGTGTACCTCAGCTCCCCAGCCCCTGAAACCCTTTTCCAGTCTGAGCGAGGCCATGGCGTAGGTGCCAAAGTTGTCTATGCCTTCATCTTTTCCTGCTTCCATCATGGCCTGATACACAGCTGCCATGTTCTTCTGGTCAATGTACAACTCCCAGCCCAGCTCACCTGCACACAGGTGAGCACAGAACGTCAATAAGCAGCTCCAAACCAAAGACAGACAGAACGAGCTAAAGAAAGAATGAAAGAGCAAATGGAAAGAATGAAAGAGTGCAAGACAAAAGGAAAGAGTGACAGAAAGAATGAAAAAAGCAAAAAGTGCAAAAGAAAGAAAGTGAAGAGTGAAAGAAAGAGAGCTAAACAGTGAAAGAAAGCAAAAGAAACAGAGAAAAAAGAAATAGCGAAAGAAAAAGTGACAGAAAGTGAAAGAAGGAGCAAAATAGAGCGAAAGAGTGAAAAAAGAGCAAAAGAAAGAAACAAAGAAACAAAGAAAGAGGATCCATGCTTCTTTGGATAAACAAATAAGGCGAGGTGTGTCCTTTACCAGTGTAGGAGATCCTGATGGCTCTGACAGGAAGCCCGGCCAGCTGGATGTTCTTGCAGTGCAGAAATTTGAACCCAGCATCACTCATATCCTCGTCTGTCAGCTTCTGGAGAACCTTCCGGGAATTAGGTCCTGCAATTCCCAGCACACCTATCTCGTCTGTCACATTTCTGATGTCCACATCATATTTTCCTTCTGCAGCTTCTGCTTCAATCCACCTGAGAAAAGTTCAAACCCAAAACAGGAAACAACATTTTTTAAATTCCTTCTAAAATTATTTCTTTTTTGCACATTTAAGTGTTTTTAAATGCAAATAAGGAACTCCAGCCTAAAGGCGACCATGAGCTCTGCACTTTACTATGCAGCTTTTAAGCAGTAGAGGTCGCTGCATAGCCACTAATGGTTCCCTGCAACTCAAAAGAGAGTGTCAGAGCAAAGGCAAGGGGAGGAATGTATTAATGGGCTGTCTTCCAACTAGAGCGACAGAGGAGCGTAGTATTAACAGCTGCTGAGGGGTTTCAAATTCCAGTGCTTAGAAATGAGACTATGAGAGAGTTATGCAGCAAGGCTTCAACTTTGACTCCAGCCTGGAAACAGGAACGAGAATCAAAGAGCTCTCTTCATTGAAACAGCTAAAATATTTCCTTCTCACTGTTTAAAGGTCTCGGACCGACTTGGAGTTTTTCCACATGTTCCGAGCAGAATAAGAAATTCCCCCCTCCTGTTGCTGCGCACTTCTCGTCAGCAGGCTGCAAAAGACACTGCTACACTCTTCACTCTCTTACACCAAAGACTTTACTGTTTGGAGTTAGGCTGCAAAACGGCTGCTGCACTGACATATTTCACTGTCTGGAGACAACAATAAAAAGGGACCAACATGGAGTTGTATTTTGCTACTCTTCCCCCACCTGTTGCTGCAAAAAAATGTGCTAAAACACTTTTAACATGCATACAAAGGAAAAAAAAAAAAACAATTTGGTGTTAGTTCTGTTTTTTGTGGACCACTGGTCAGCTGGCTTAAAGTCTGACTGTTCAAGAATGAACAAATGATGACAGAAAGAAAGAAATCAAAGAGGGATGGAAGAAAAAATGATGACAATGGCTGCCAATATGTTACACGTAAAAAAGCAGAAAATATACAAAGCGGCTCAGTAGTACGTCTTTGTAGATTTCTGACGTAGATAAATGTTTTGATGCATCTGTGCATTAGTAGATTTCATTTGTGAGCCTGGACAATGATTTCCATTTTATTTATAATAGTCACACATCCTTTGTATATAATATTTTTCCTCTTATCAGTCTGAGATTTTCAGGGTATAAGAGTAATTTAAAAGAACAAGGAACTGAAATATGATGCTTATTGTATTTTAAAACAATTATTTTCTGTCTGAGGCGTTTACTGGAGAAGAAAAATGTGTCCAAAGAAAAATCCACAAAAGAATCAATAAAGCCAATAGTTGGACACAATACCTAACCAGTGGATGAGGTAAGAGCTTCTGATCACTGATCAGCTGGATCGAAACGGACCGGTTTTTCTCACCTGAGGTCGTGGAGCTCGGAGCCGGAGCCCGTGATGAGCAGGAACTCTCCTGGTGTCAGCTGGGTGATGGTGACCTCAGCGAAAACTCTCCCTGAAGGCGTCAGCATGTGGCTGATGTTAGTCTGGCCAACCTGAAGAGTCCAGTTTCAAAGGATGAAGAATAATAGATGATTTCTCTGCCACCAGGATCAGACACCGTGTAGGAGACTTTTTCTCAGGATTTAATGCTTATTCTTTACCTTGGGCATGCTGTTGGCAAACAGCCGATCGAGCAGCTTCAGTGAATCCTTCCCTTTAACTACAAATTTTCCAAAAGGAGTGAGGTCGATAACGCCCACCTTCTCCATCACCAGCCTGCACTCTCTACCGACAGGTCCGAACCAGTTGGTACGTTTGAAACTGGGTCTGAATGAAAAACAGAAATCTTTACCTTAAAGTCTGATACGTTAACGAGATGTTTGACATCACATCGCAGGAACTAAATAAATCACCTGTGCTGCTGCTGCTAGAAAAAAAAACATGCCATGCTTTAAATAAAAAAATGCCCCAAAAATATGTTACTGTATTTATAATTAATTCGGGATCCCAGGAAACAAAACAGCTTCTTTATGTTTTTTCTTACATCTGTGTAATCTGTATCATTCCCACTAAAGCCTGTTGAAAGCAGGAAGTTAGGCAAACAAGGAATGTTTTCCTTACTTGTATCCAGTTTCGTCTCCAGGTTTGTAAAACCAGTGAGGTTGTTCCCAGCCGGCATGAAAGCCCATGGAGCACTTGTCCTTGAGCAGCTGGTAAACTCCACTCGTCCTGGAGGTGGGTCGACCAGCAAAGCGCTCCTCCTTGGGATAACCGACTGGGGGAAAAAACAAAAACACAGTCATTGTCTCAATAAGAAAGCTGGTTCCTAACAAATTTCTGGTGCTTTTGTTTTCTTCTTACCAACATTGTTGAAGCCATAAGATTCTCTTGCCTTGGCGCACATGAAAGGTACGTCTGTCCATTTGCCATATCGGTTGGGATCGCATTCAATAAGATCGTAAGGAGGTTCGCCGTTCCTAATCCAGTCGCTCAGGAACTTACCAATGCCTCCAGCATGGATAACTCCATACCTGGACAAGCGGAGTTAAATGTTTGGCATATTCTGTGTCCACAGCTCAAACATACCATGACTGTCAGAGCTGTAATTGTCCCTAGATCTCCACAATGACAAAATGCATGCTTTGACGACTTAAGGTAAGGCGTTTAGATCTGGGCAACTGTACTAAGTCACAGGCATGGTCATGGCAGCATAATGCTGTGGAGCTTTTTTGCTTCTGCTGGTATATCATCAAAAAAGAATGGAACAATTAAGACAGAGGGATCCACATCAAACTTAAAAGCAGAACATGGCAGACACCATTTATCATCCGATTGGACAAAAAATGGGGTCTTATAAATTTATACCATTAATATCTCTTTGAAATACATTGGGCTGGTCAGACGCACCCAAAGCCAATGGCGGTCCAGTAGTTGCGTACGCCGTGATGTGGTCCAACCATGGGCAGCAGGTCCGGGGTGTACGTGATTGGTCCAGACACGACATTGATGATGTCAGCTTTCTTCAGAACAGGAACCATCTCCATGGCCATCTCTATATGCTCCATTATCCTGTCGAGGTCTGACTCAAACAGCTCCTTCCCAAAACCTAAAAGCAGCAGAAGTTTTACAAAATGAACCTACTGGGATTTTGAACCGCCACAAAGCTAAATGCTTTCAAGAAAATTTTAACTGAGATATTGGTTAATTGAGATATAGATAATTCATGGTATCCGGACCTGGCGGTACCCCATCTCTAACCCAGGAGTCCTGAAGCACCATCTTCTCCATCTGCTCATACGGACCAAACAGCAACCCATCCCTCTCCTGACGCATGTAGTAGGAGCCCTCCAGGTCCCTGATGACAGCCAGCTCCTTCTTCAGAGCCTTCACCTCTGGCACTGTTGCAGTGACGACGTACTGGTGATGCACTGGGATGGTGGGGTGTTCGTAACCAATCATCTGGCCCACTTCACGAGCCCAAAACCCTTAAAATTGAAAGAAAAAGAGGAATATTCTCAAATTTAAACAGGCCAAAAAATAAATAAAAGGTATTTCTTTTGTACAATACAAACATAATATAAAACACAGTCCACCATCTTGGGTTTCCCACATAAGGGAGCCTAAAAAGCCCCAAAACTAATCAAAATGAAATAAAAACAATCCCTTTTCCGCCCCTCAAAAACTGTCTTTATTTCCTTTAAACAAATGTATTTAACGTATTTTATAAAACTACTAGAGTCAAGAACTTTTATTTAGTTTTTCTAAGTCCCATGGTATAAAGCATCGCTTGTTGGGTCCTCCTTTAGTTAAAAAGAAAGTTAATACTTCCATATTTAAAGATTTTAACAGATTATTTCACTGAGCAAAAAAAAAAAAGTAATTAACATTGCCACAATAATTTTTCTTTAAATACTTCTTAAAAAGAGTCAGATATGAATTAATTTCTACTGGTCCTCAGTTTTGGGAAAAACAGGAAATAGCAAGAAGGAGCTACTAGTTTCTACGTAGAGTCAGAGCAATAAGGTAAAGTGGAGGGTGTGTAATTCTGTGGGCCTGTTTCCTGATAGTAGCATCAAGAAATTGATTAAATCATTTTTTTCATCCTGAAGGAAATGTAAATGTTTTATATCATACAATAGGGGTCCCTTCAGGCAGGCAGGCTCTCCTGTAGTGGTCTGTATTCCAGCTGATCTGGAGAAGCATCTGACTAAAGACACTGTTGCTGTATGACATTGTATAAGCATTGATCTTTTCATCAACAAAAATGTGTTTATTTGGATTATTAAGGCGTGAAACAGTCGGACTCTTCAGAAATTTCCCTTAAATAAGCCTGGTTTAAACTGAATGTGAGCAAACACCTGTTAGCAGATCTCAAAATTATTTTAATTCAGGACGGACTGTCCTTTTAGAGCGATGCAGTGATGCATGATGCAGACTTTTAACACAAAAAAATCATTACTTTAAGAACAGAAGGAAGAGAGATGCAAAAAGTAAAGGAGTGCAAACAGAAACAGGTAATATATTTAAACTCACTTGTAAACCAAATATACCGTAAATTCTCTAATATTGGCCTGTATTCCATTAGTGGCCGGGTCTCTAATAATGGCCTGTCTCGCTGATGGCGGAGGTAAATAATGGCCGGTCTCTTATACAGGCCGGGGCTATAAGCGTTTTTTCTGGGCATACCTCAACATTATACTTGTGGTAGTAACATACAAGTACCACAGCCCTGCGCTGCTGGATGACAGGCCCTGACTGCTGCCCGTCTGCGCGAGGAAGAAAACAGACACGCAGCAAAACATGAGGAGGACGAAGAGGAACTGTACAATAATGAACTTGTGATAGAGACTGGCGCGAGTGATGAGGAGAATACAGGGAGAGGTGAAGAGGAGGAGGAAACTGAGGAGGAGGAAACTGAGGAGGAGGATTAAACAGAGTTGGAGGATTTTTTTTTTTACTTCACACCAAGCGAGACAATTTGAGTGAGCGAGGAGGTGTCTAAACCTGTAAGTTGCTTTTTGTTATAAAACAGCCTAATTATCACCATGTATGGTTAAGTGTTTACATTGCACTAGTTGCACTACTGGTATGTTTGCTACGTTTTTTTCCACTGGAATTTAGCCTGAATTACAGGTAGGCTATTTGTTGTTAAATTTCTGTATACCGTTATGGTAACTGTTCTTGTTCAATAAATGAACCTAGTGTTTTATAGGTTCAAATAGACACAAAATCTCATTTTTTATCCATTCCACTGGTAGTCTGTTTTGCTCAAATAGCAATAGAGGCTTGTCTCTAATTCTGGCCTCCTTCCAATAAAGGCCTGGACCGCGATGCACTTGAGTGAAATAAAGGCCCGGGCCTATATTAGAGAATTTACGGTATATACATTTATGTTTCTCCCAATGTCAGTTTGTACACATTCATTGGATTCTGAAGTTTTACAGCTCTTTTACAAAGCGGTTAAAAGATGCTTTCCTGCTCATGGTTTTTACGCCTGATCTAGAAACTGAATCAAGTTGATGAGGAATAATGTTTTGGATAGCAAACAGATGTTTTTGGTATGTTTAAAGCATTTCTTTTCTCTCTCAATCCCTTTCCACCAGTAATATGGTGCACTGCCCCATGTAGTTTATCCTTAGCTGAAAGGAAAAAAATGGATAAGTTCATTCTAGTATTGGTTCTGTTGCAGGATTTCCCCTGAAACGTAGGTTAAAGGACACAGAAGGGCTGTGACAAAAAATAACATAAACTTTGAACAAGTTCATCCAGCCCATGCATGAAGTCATTAGAAAGCTTCTTCCCAGCTGCCATTATCTTCCCTGCACCCATACTGTTAAAATAGACATCTAGTGAAAGGATTTTTCTTAAAATAAGTGCATTTTCCTTCATCATAGAACACATAATTTGCCAATGGAATAAGATTATTTACATTTAAAATAAGAAAAAAAAAACCTCAGTTATTTTATTTGATGTGCCTAATGTCTAATTATCTTATGTTAATGGAAGAAATATTCATTTCAGCTGCAGATCATCATATTTACTTTTTAATGATATTTAAATTTATTGCCAACTTTCTTTCATTTCATACATTTTAAACTCATCTCTTTATATATGCATGTATAAATGTATATAACTTCACTAGGGAAACAGATAAAGTTAATGTTTCCTCTTAAAAATGTTGACGTCTGATTGCTAAGTTCATCATATCCTAGGGTACAAATTCACACAAATCTAAAACATGTTTTTGCATTGAATAATTACCTCAATATTTGTCATAAAAGCACATCTCCTGATTTATCATAAACTCTGCAACCACTTGTAGAAGCTAAACATGCTAAGCTAAGATGAAGTACAGTATAACTTGGCTTAAAAATTAACTGCTACAAAACAAACGAACCAGGTTTGGAGTTTGTTAGAGGGACACGTGTATGAAGCTCAGGTCAAGGCGCCAGACCAGAGAGGTGCAGCTGAAGCCAGTTGAACCACTGTGAATTTAGGTTTATCTGTGCCGCCATCCTCGACATCAGCACGTTGAAAACACAAACGTGCACAAAGAGCTAATTCAATGCCGAAAATTACATGCAGTCGGCAGCTAGAAGAACACATTTGAAATAAGTCTCACTTTGTTTATTAAACTGTCTATTTATGACTTTAAACTTATAGTCATAAGGTCAGCATTGTTAAAACAGGGAGTAAGATGTTTATAGATAGTTTGTTTTTTATCCAACCCTGCGTTATGAAAGGACAGAAGATTCTCAGTTGAACAAATCACCCACATATGTAGGTGATTTGTTACAGATTAGAACAGATTAGATGATGTAGGTCATGTAGTCAGCTGAAACTCCTTTATTTGATGCAAGTTCTGTAAAACCATTGATATGAAGGAGCTAAAGTTGATTGAAATTTCAATATAATCCAATTGAGCCATTTGTAGCTTGACAAAAATAATTCACTTCAAGTTTAGAGTAAATCAGATCATGCATGTTTGGATCAGCTGTGTTAGGGTGCGGTTTAAACCACAAGCGAGCAGCAAGATATTTAAAATGGGCAATTCCATATATCTAGATGTTCAAGGCAATAGTCAGTGTTCAAAGTGATTCAACTTTATCTTGTTTTTGTATCGTCTAACACAGCTTGAAACCTGCATGAAGGAGGACATCATCCAGTGAGGCATGTCACTTCCTGTTCTAACTGGGCTCAACTGAGGTTAGCAAATGACTGCGATGATGTCAAACATCCAATTAATGTATCAGACTTTAATATAAAGACTTTTTTCTTTTATCATTTATACTTAGACTTGTTTCACCGATAGAGAGGTGAAACGTGACACCCACGCTGCCAGATCAACCATGTGAAAACATTCACAGCATTTTGTCTGAACATACCATGATGTCTTTAGGTCAAAAGCTTAAAGAAGAGCTTGCTTGGATAGAATGTGTGCAAAAAAGACAAAAAATGGCGGCTTTGATCCAAAATGGACGACAGCCAGTAGGGTTGTGACCCTTGTTCTGACTCGTTCCAACTTATAGGTCCTGTGAAGTTACATATATGTGAACCAAATTTCCTAATACTTAGTTGAAGCGTGGGTTGAAGCTAATGGTTTTAAAGGTCAGAGCAACTACAATTTTTTTTTTCAGGTTTTTACTGCACTAGCAGCCTTTTTTTTATTCAGCAGTAGGCTAACAGGAAAGGGGGTACGGGAGAAGGGAAGAGACATGCAGCAAAGGCCCACAGGCCAGATTCGAACCCGGGTCGGCCGTGTTGAGCACTAAGGCCTCCGTACATGGGTTGTGTGCGCTAAGCAATGCACCACCTGCACGCCCTACTAGCAAATTTTCATCAAAACCATTCAGTTTTCAAAAAGTCTTACATCCAAAGAATTTTTACGTTGGTTTAGGATAAAAGTTAAATAAAAAAATGGTATATAAATAATTTTTTATACATAAGGACAGGCCAAAAATGTCTAAATATTTACTTCTGGTTATAATGGCAAGATCTAGATAAAACGACTAACCATTGGAAATAGAACATTGAAGTCATGTGAGCTTAGGCGATACCAAATTCTAGTTGCTTCGTGATCAATCTGAGAAGTAGTTTCTTTACATTTCTCAGATTCAAACCAAACCAAAATGCAAAAAAGGAGCAAAGCCAGGGTGAACAGTCAAGCTATTACATCTGTGCCGAAGTAAATAGGCAAAGGGGCCCAGAAGTCAGACAGATGTCACTGACTTTCTTCTGGAACTGTAAACCAGTTACCAAACAGTACAGAATGAGAACAGACAAGCCTGAGTGTACCACTTACTGGCAGGAAGGAGTTAGACAAGTAACATTCACATTTAGAGCTTCTAGGGAAAAAAATGTATCTATAATAATTAGTTAAGTACAGATTAGATGATATATTTGTAAATTAATCTGAAACTCTGGCCAACAGTTTCACCACTGGGGAGCAAGTAACACCAACGTATCATCTGTCATTGAGCACAGGTTGAAGATGATTAGGTCAAAAAGGTCAATTACACCATCTGACTTCCTCTTCTCAGTGGAAGGAGCTTAGGTGATGCAAGAAGCTGAATATTAACGGACCAGATGATGAACCTCAGTCATACAAGGTGTTATTCATTAAATGTTCTTTGCCAGACGTCAGCCTTTGAGTACTGGCTCTTCCCCTAACCTGTGACGATTTTTATTTAAACCACCCATGCCTTTTGAAACTAATAAAATTTTAACTCAAATAATTATAATACCTAAAAATTGTTGGATCAAATGCCGAGACTAGAATCAGCCCAAACAGGTTCAGGATGAAAAAAAAAAAAGAACCTGATATCCAAGATGGCCGACTTCCTTTTTAATGTAGGTAATAAGAAGTTCTAGATCCAAAAGTTGATAACTGCTACGGTAAAGTAAGCTTAAAGAAGTGGGTATTCTGAAAATGCCTATTGGGGCACTGAGGTCTCAGTTTTGCTGCATCTGCAAAACGTTTAACTACTTAGATTTCACACACTGGGGACATGTGTGCAAAATGTGTCAAGTTTTGGCGTTTTAAGCAAGTTCATTACGGAAATATGCAATCTTCAAATTCCAATATGCACCACTTTCACTGCTCGCCAAATCAAAGTGGAAGTATGGCCAGTAGTCATCACTTACACACTCCTAATCCTCATAGCAAGCCTTCCCTAAATTGTTGAAGCTGTGATCGATGTAAATGAAGGGCCAAGGTCAATGAGATGTCATTAACCCATTTTTTACCCCCCAGAAATTTAAAGTTTGTATTGTTGCTGTATATCAGATGTTAGATCAAATAGGGGTTATTCATATCAACATCCCAGGTTTACTTAGTGTTAATTTAGGTATGAAGCTAATTAGCGACACAAGGCTTTTAGGGAACAATACAAAAAAGTTCCAATGTCAGAATGTTAACCATTTATTAATGCTGTTTTTCTCTGACAAAAACCTATTTAGTCAAAGCATATGTTTTTTAAACTACTTTCAAACTTTCAAATAGACCTAATTCTTTTAGGTAATATGGAAAGTCGACACGCCACACAATCCAACACAGTACTAGACCTTTCTTTGTGAATTAGAAAACAGTCTCACTCAATGAACACTGTTGGAAATTGATCTACTGCATTTTACTTATGGTAGAAAAAAAATCATTGGGTTTCAGATTTAGAAAAACACTCATCAGTTTCTTTGCTACCCTTTCCTATTAGCTGCTAAACATGTTTTTGTAATAACAAATAAGTCAACCTGTCTTTTAATTCAATTAATGATTAAAAAAAACGCTTTACTGTGTATTACCAGCAGTTTTATCTGCATGTTTTAAAAATCAATCTTGTATTATCGTATGACGCTGTATGATTAATTATTCATTATTCATTATTCTTTTCATAATCTTAAATCCTCCCTAGCAAACATTTTGTAACACAGAAACAAATATGACAAATATTTTATCCCAAATACCCCAAATTTTACTAATCACCATTCCTTAATTGCCTAGTGGGGCTAAAATGCTTTAAACTAACAATCAGAAATAACTTTATGAATTTAAGTTTTTTTTTTTTTTTTGGCAGTCTTACAGTGGATCCTTGCTTTTACATGGATGATGTTTAATTCACACTCCTAAAAACTCGATTTTTTATGCAATGTCAAAAGAAAGCTGTGTTGTTTTAATCAAAGCTTTATCCAAAATGCTTGGGCCTCTTTTCTTTGTGGAGGGATTTTTTTTTTTAGCCATCTAAGATGGATGTTTGGAAAAGAATTTCTAAGCTGGCTGGTTTCCCATAAGGGGTTCTGTATTGCTGCTACCCAAAAAGCTGTAACATCTGTTTTCAATTTATAGTAATCCATGGTGAGCTGAGGGACAAAGAGAACAAAAGGCAGGATACGCTGTATTTCCAAAAACCTAAAATAGGAGAAAACGTATGTGCATAAAAGTCCAGCAGCAAAAAGCTAAGAAAAAAAACAGAGTCAGGAGGTGTGCATGTGATGCTCCTTCAAGATTGGCTGGAATGTGATCTGCTGCCCTCTTTGGATTGGCTGTGAAGGCAAACCGAGCAGCAGCCCCAGACAACTATAGACTTCAACAGAACTTTTCTCCAATATATTCAGAGCTGTGATTTGCCATTTTATTGATTATTATTTTAAACCCAACATTTAAAGAAAAGAGATGACTAATCAAAAAGATTCATGAACTAAAACCAGCTAAATTACATAACACTTTCCTCCTGGGAAGAGGCAACTGAAGCAAAATCCTAAAACAGAGCTGACAAAACCAGCACTGGTGGGAGGGACGAAGGGGAGGCGGTAATAAAAAAGATCCCCCCAGAACTGGTCTGGCCCAGTTTGAACTAAAAGCTGCCTTCTATGAACTCTGCAAGCTGTGGTTTGAGTGGGCAAAGTTCTCCTGCAGCGAGATGTTTGCAGATAAAACTCTACCATGGAAGCACTGTTTGTAGAAATGCTGAATCAGATTTTTAAGTGTATTTGGTATTGGTGGAGTTGTGTTAAAAAAAGAAACATGAGAGTAACTCATCTTTATTTAGTGTTTCTCGCTGTTATGATTGCTTATATTGTGTCTGCTAAATGCTGGATTGTTTAACAACTCTTAAATTTGGAAAAAGGAAAACAGCACTAAAAACTGTGGGACGGTTTATATGCTGACTGAGGTTCTGTAAAGTTTCAGAGATTTTAATTTTTTCATAAAGATGGGAGAGTGTTAAGCTGTTTTTACCTGCACCATGCACCCCTCTTTGTTTAGACTTAGACTTAGACTCAACTTTATTCATCCCTTGGGATTACTCCTTCAGGGAATTTCTGGTTCCAGTAGCTTATATAGGGTAGAGTTAAAGCAAGATGCCATTTAAAATGAAAATACAATAGACAATATAAAAAGAGTGTATATGGTACGAAAGAGCATAAAAAAGATAAAGGTTGTAATGTCCTGGAGTATGTTTCCCTTAGATAAAAAAAAAAATCTGCAGAGTAGAGAGCTAAGGGAAGACTGAACAGTAGTTGACTTGGGTTATTGCACTTGCATTGCAGAGATGTACTGACCATATAAATAAGTGAGAGATTACACAGGCTACACAGCAGTTGGTGTGTGTTATTGCACTGTGAGAGAGAAGAATATTGCACGAGTGACAATAGGTACCGGTAATGTTTTGCATAAGATGTCCAAGAAGGTGGGTGCTGACTCTTGTCCCTCTTCCTATCACCTCCTCCTTCCCCCAAGTGAGGAGTTGTACAGCTTGATTGTTTGGGGAACCAAGGAGTTTAGCAGTCTGTTTTGTTCTGCATTTGTGGAGGAGGAATCTCCCACTGATCAGGCTCCTCTGAGTGGTATGTCATGATCTCGGCACCATTGGCTGGGTTTTTCTCCTCTGATCTGCTTTGCTCCACTCTGCGCTCATTATCTCTTATCAGATCTGCCTGTTCTTTCTGCTATTTATGTCACTGGATCCTAGTCGATGGTGACAGATTATTCAAGCTTCCAGCGAGTCTAATTCTAGCGTCTCTGTATGTGTATAGTTTTGCCTGATCCTGACCTGTTTCTTCCCCTGGACATCTCAGCTCATGCCCTGCTCTGTTTTTGCCTGTCCTGTGTTTCCGGATTGTTAACTTGATTTCACCTGTTGTCGACCTTGGACATCTTCTGACCACGGCTTGGTTTATCCTTGATCCCTTGGTTCCTCTGCGAGTTCTGGCTGCTGCTAGTCGCTGCTCCTCTTCTCTCCTGGATCTCTTGTATCAGCTCAGTTTCAAGCTGCAGAGTTCCGTTCCTCTGGACTTCACTCCTTCTTCTGGGCTCAGACTTGAACTTTGCCAGGTTGCTGACTTTCAAAGCGCATTGTCTTCCCCGTTTGAGTTTCAGAAGTCACTGACCTGAGTCTCCATCCCTGCAGCGTATCCAGTGAGCCCGCCACAGCTGACGAGCAGCAGCAAGCAGTCTTTGCAATAAAGCGCCTTTTAAGTATAACTGTCTGTCTCAGCTGAATTCTGGGTCCTATGTTCTGAGCCTTCTGACATGGAGAAGACAGTGTGCAGAGGGTGGCTGGCATTGTTCATAATGTCCAGCAGTTAGTTAAGTGTCCTTGCCTCTGTTGTTACCCCAAAGCTTGTGTGTTTTACTTTGTCTCGCTTCCAGTCAGACCCATGAAATAGCTGCTGAATTGCTGCGTAGTCCGACGAAAATCTCCTCCCTATTGACTCTAAATGAACGCTAAAAGGCCACAACCTTGTCCGACACAATTTTGTGTTGGATTGGACGCGAAATCCAATTTGCTGTGTTCAGGGCTTTAGTTTTTAAGTCTTACCAACTAGATAAAGTACTAACTCAATTAAGCACATTAATATCTTTAAATATAAACTATTTCATCACTGGCTGAAAGTTCCCAATTTCTTTTAATCTTTTAAAGGCGCACTAATAAGCAACATGTTGCTGAATAAATGCACCCTCACAGCATGCTGCTGTCACCACCATGTTAACATTGTGGGGATGGATTGCATAAGTTGAGGTGTTTCACATTTTCTGCACAGAAAGCTATTTGCATGTTGGTAAAAAAGGAAAAGTGTTGGTAAAGTGTGATGAGAGAACCGCCACATGTGTACTGTTAACCCCTGCCTTCCACTGCCAGATTTATGGATCTTGTTTGTTTTCAGTGGCCGTTGGGCTTCAGCCATGTCTCGGTAGAACTGAAGATGCCCCAAACTTTTTCCTTTTTCAGAATAAATGTGAAATGCTTGCACTGGGTTTCATTTACCAGTAAAAGGGTAAATACAGCTTGACAACCTTTCTTAATTTTGTTTATCAAACAGTTCTCATTGTTCTTCCTGTTCGTTATTATGTACAACTGAGCGTTGGTCAGTCAGATGAAGCCCTAAATAATTCATTCATCATTATCTGAATACACAAACCTGCCGTGTTCACAATACGATTTGCACGAATGGTCCCATGGGGAGTCTGGACATCCCACTTTCCATCTGCTACTTGGGTGAGTCCGGTGACTGGAGCTGGATTGTAGATCTGGGCCCCGTACATACGAGCTCCAGCAGCCAGAGCCATGGTGAGAGAGTATGGGTCAATGTGGCCATCTCCAGGGGTATACAGACCTGCCAGCACCTGAAATCAGAGAGTAAGATTAAATCTAAACCAATATTAGAAAGTTATATTATTACTAGTAACTATTATAACCATCGGCGTCGCCAGACCCCATTTACTGGGGCACGTGCCCCAGTATAAATGAGCTGTGCCCCAGTATAAATCTCATGAATATTTGCAACAGTATTAAATTTTTTTAAGGCATCAATTTAGATAATTCCAACGGAAGGAGACGCATATTTCTACTCAAATGCGCAGCAAGTGTGTTGGTAACTCCAAACTGAGGATGAATTAGCGCCCCCACATCAGCGCATGTCACTGCATGAACTGCAGGTAAACTAACACGCTGCTCTCAACTGAGTTGGATGGGACACTGTGCGGCCGCGACTCATTTTTAGTTCTGGTAACGTTTCTTACCTGTCAATTTTATTATTTTCCCAGTGAAACCACGTGATTTATAGGCTACTAACTGAAAGTTACTGCACTGGTTTGTAGATGGATATCAGGAAATTCCTCACATGAAGCAGAGACAGGGAAGCAGTAAAACAACATGAGAGAGAGGGAGGTAAGGTCCCGTAATGAATTAGTGATTTAAGCTAAGCAGTTACATTAGGGACGTTATAAGCAATATGATTGATATTTACATAATTATAGATTTACGTTTTTTTAATGTTTGCTGTAGAGAATGAGAATGAAGGTGCTGGAGTAGGAAAGGGAGGAGGAGGCGAGACTGACAGGCAAGAGACAGGAGAGACAGGACCATGAAGGTGATGAGGGAGCAACAACCAGCTTCCACAAACAAGAAGGGGACATTAGTGACTTAGGGGGAAAGCATGATGGTGCTAAACAAGTGAAGTTGTCCCACCATCCCCAGCACAAATTTGGAGTAAAAAAATGTTTGTTTAATTCAAAATGGTTTGAAAGCTTTTCCTGGTTGAAAAAGAAAGCCTTGTCATCAAGGATATGCAGTGTGTTTTCAACTTGCTTGATAACATCATATTCCCAACACTAACGCAGGTCATCCAGATCTCCCTCACAATCCCAGTCAACAGTTGTAGTTGTGAAAGGTCATTCAGTGTGTTGAGAAGGATCCTAACTTGGCTGAGGTGCACAATGGGACAAGACAGGCTCCATCATCTGGCTATTTTATCAGTTGAAAAGGAAGAACTTTCTAAGCTGAGTCACAGTCAAGTGATTGACCGCTTTGCAAAAATGAAAAATAGGAGGTACACTTTAATGCTCAAAAAATAAAAGAAAAACTTAGTTCGGGTTGAGTTAAACTTTCCCCTGAACTAAAACTCTGAAACCTAGAAATTAATGATTACTTCAGAATGTGTATAAGGAAACTTTTTATTCGTCAAAGTTGTTGATGTCTTATTTTTTATAGCTGCAATGTTGAAAATGTTAATGTTTGTTAAAACAAATATGCTCTTATACTTATTAATATCTCAACTGGTAATTTTGGTAGGAATTTATCAGGGTGGGGCAGTGTGCTTGTCTGTATTTGTGTATGGAAGGAGGGGCATATGCGGTAGGGGGCCAGTGCCCCAGTAAAGCTTTGTGCCTAGCAACGCCCCTGCTAGCAACCATGTACAATTCCATTTTAGCTCCTTTGTAATACCATTTGTTAAAATTGGAACATAAAGAGGGAACCTCTAAGCAGAGCCCCAGAGCGACTTTATGTTAACCCCATGTTTTCTATATGATTTAGGTCTGAGGTGTAAGGAGTGCATGGAATAAGCTTGATTAAAAGCTAAAAATTATTCCTATGCTTATCTGGTAAATTACTTTCCTGCATGTCTCTCCCTCTCTCTCATACCCCTTTTCCTATCAGCCTACTGTTGAAAAAACGGGCCTCTTGTGCCTTAAAAAAAGTGACGTACTTTACACTTTATTCAGTTACACACATCTTCACACGCCGATGGTGGTAAGCTACATTAGCCATGTTTCCATCCAAGTTTTCGAGGAAAAAAAAGGCAAAGCCGATTTCCAGCTTTGGCATTTGGTTAAAAGCAAATTAATCTTATAGGTTAAAGGTTGTTGTTCACATTACATCGTCACACATTGCTGTAATAAACATAATGTAGGGGCTACAATCTAGCACGGACCATAGATCACTAATGGAGGAAAGTTTTAATGACTGCGCTTCTATAGGGCAAGTTGTTCTTACGTTCACAGGTCAGCTGGTAATGCTGATGATGCTTCCAGCCATGTTTACAGACATTATATGTATATAGGGGAGAATGTCGACAGCAGAAATACAAAGAGCAAATCAACCATGTACGATAAAAATTTGCTACATTAGAGCTGATTTGGAAAAAGTGTCTCCATCAACCGTTGTGCACATTAAGCCTAAAATCCCCTCAAGTGAGAGTAAAAATGTTTTTTGCGAATTTGAGGGAGTTTTTTCAAATTTTGCCATTCCTATCAAGCTTTTCTGATGCAACCCTTCACAATGTGCATTAGAAAAAGCAGATGGAAAGCACTTATTGCATCCATAGCTGTTCTGGGGCAGACTGACAGAAGCAAGGCTGGCGTACAATCAGACCAACAGCAGCAGGCAAAGAGTGTAAAGTGTATTTCCCAAGGACACAACAAGTGAGGAGAGGAGCTGAAGCTGGAATCAAACTCTCCTCATTTACTGTAAAGGAGAAACCCCTTCCTTAAACCACTAAGCTAATCAATGATCCAATGATTTCCAATCAGTTTCCTTAAACGACTTTATTCTTGTGATAAATGTTCTGGTATTGTATTCTATTTTAAAGGTCAGGTTTATGGAAGTCTGAATAGGTTCAAACAGTTTTTGGACTATAAACAGGCCCACAGCATACCAGATCCTCTATCCTCTGGTCTAAGTTTTGTACTTTTTAGTCCTATTTCTGAGTACGTCTATGCTTTTAAACAAGTCACCTCCAAAAAATGAAATATATATCTTTAGCTTCCCAACAACATGAAGCACTGAAACAACATTACAAAGCAGCTGCTTTAGGAGATCTCTGGAACCTAGATCAACATGCAATTACCTAAATATCTAGAAATAGCTGCCAACTGATGGTAGATAAATAGCCAGATATGGACTTTAATAGATTTGAAGAGAAAAAATTGTTAAATAAGTGAATAACAAAACAGTTCTGCTATGGCTGTCACAACCAACAAGCTGTAATTGCAGCCAAAGATGCTTTAAAGCTGGGAACACATTTACATCTAAAATGTTTACTTAAAAATATCGAGAAAAAAAGACTGAAAAACATTTTTTTAATTATTGTGGATTATTTCGTCTAGATATTTTGCTAAGAAATCTGTACTTAAACTTAAAAACATATTTGTTTAGAGCTGCCTTTGACTGTTAACCAAGGTTTTATTAGTTTAAGGTTTTGATCCAACTGTTTTATTTTCTTCTCTACCTGCTTTTATGTTGTTTTTTTTTACTTGCTTTTGTCCTGCTTTGTTGTTGTCCAATTTTTGTATTTGTATCATAAATGTTTTCACTTTTATTACATTTTTATTTTTCTTCAATTCTATTATCTAATTCATGTGAAAAACTTTGAACGCTATTTAAATAAAATTGCCTTGGCTTGCCTTAAACTAGTAATAGAAGATTTGTGCCCTAAAATTTAATGTAGGAAGAGTGAGGGGTGTGAATACTTTTTGAATGCAACGTAAATTAAAAGAAAATGATTGGATGAACACCTTTTAATTGCTTCTTCAAATTCAATTTGTGAAGGATTTCAGTTTTTCCACATTAAAGAAATAGAATCAAACACAGAAAGTAAAATAGAAAGACCCCTAAGGGCTCCAAATGGTGGTCCATTAACACTATAAATGTTTTTGACTAAGAAAAAAAACAAACTATCAAACCTGCATTTATCCATTCAAACACTGTAACACTGCATTGTTTTATACAGACCTTTTCAATGTTAAGCAGGGGGAAAAGTTCTTGGACTTTTTCCGGTCCGATGAGGTACTGTGGCGTCACGTGCCAGTGAGTACGAGTCATCTGGTACTTCATCTCATCCACACGAGCCGCTGTGGAGGCAATGCGGACGCTGCCGGGCTGGTGAAAGCCAACAGCCTGCGCAGAAAAATGATTTAAAACAAAATAAACCAATACAAGGTTTTAACTAAAAATAAAAGCTGAAGAAACATTGAGGCTTGTCACCTGGCCAGTTTCTGCCTCCAGGGTCTCGTAAAGTTTAATGCTGTCAAAGTGGACTTTCTTCAGATTGATGCCTGGATGGTAATATGTTGTCAGACCTGCCTGATATACAAAGGAAAATACCATTAAGATTTATTAGAAAAAAGGAGCCATGAGGTTTACATGAGGAATAATAAGGAATGCATTATTAAACAGGGATTACAGGCCCATAAATAACCTTAGGTTGTTGGCAAGGATCAATGAAAAAAACATCTCCTGATATAATAAAAAATAAATAATTAAATAAATAAACGGTTGAGTCTAAGTTTTTCAGTCAATTTGACCAATATATCTTAACATTGATCCATCAACACTTTCAGTCTTGGTGTAACCGCAAATCCATGACACGTTATGATCAAAGACTGTTGGGTTGTCGAGCCGGGCTGTGGGCGCCATGCGTTAGTCAATAGAAGCGCATTACACGTTTATATTGATGCAGATGTGGGTGCAGTACTTGAGAAAAATCTAAAGCTGCAGTGAACAACATAACAAGTGGAAAGGAAAAAAAAAAAAAAAAAGAGAAGAAAAAGTTGACGTCTAAATTCCAAAATGGCCGAGTGCAGTAACGTTTATTTAAGAATTGATGATTATTGAAGAATAATAGGCGTTTTACACAGAAACATACGGTGGAATAAAACGGTAGGTTTATCTGCTGCACAGACAGATGTGACCATGGGGACCCTCGCCTCCAACCCACACTGAAAAAAACCCATACAGACCTTTCTTTTTTTTAAACTAACATATACAAAAAACCGTTGTTGCACTAAATAAAACTGTATACTTTTTGTAGTTTTTTCAAACATTATTTATATGTAATGGAAACTAACAGTAACAATGCTGCATTTAACCACACTGTTCCACTTGAGACTTCTGCACCATTTGATGTCAGTAAAGGCAAACTTGCTCTTTGAGAACAACTTCATGTCCTCCCATTTGGAACAAGGCTTACAGGGGGCGGAGAGGGCATGATTAGCGCGTCACCCTAACGCACTGTGCGATGTGGCGAGTATAAAGCAAGCTTGACTGTCTGTCATCCTGCTTGATTGATTCGGATACTATTAAGGTGGGTTTGCTTCTCAATCCTGTGAACTTTGCTGCCACTTGTGCAGCTTTTTTTGACAAAAAGTTTACCTTCCACCTAACTTTCCATTACATTCCTGGATACAACAAAAGAGTCGACCTTTTAGGCCTCCTGTTGGAAGAAGTCAGTCGTTTGCATGATCGTGACGGCCATATATATAAGATTTCTTTAAGGAAGATTATTTGCAATAGTCTAATTATTACAGCAGTCCAAGTTTATGAGAGTTGGATGTTTGGATTCTCCAGAGCTAAAGGCAAAAAGTTGGTGTGTTTTTTTTTTACTGCAATAATTAATCAGAAAATAAGTATACTTTTCCAGTATATGACGAGGAAAGCTGTAAATGAATATCGGATCCCAAGTGGGTCAACAACTTCAATACGTTGAAAACTTATAGCACAGCAGCTGTTAAGTGGGAATGTTGTAACTGCAGACTCGTATCAGGAGCAACTGTTGTACAGGCGCTAATTTCAGCAGGCTGTCAAGGAAGAGCAGCCGACAGCTTCAGTTTTTCAGCAGCGTGAAATAAAATGATAACAATCAACTGAAGGAATTAGTTCACGATAGGGAAAATCTCCTCCTGAATCACTACATTTCTAATGAAAAAGTTCTAACAAAAAAATTATTGGAATCCAAATTTCAAAACTAATAAATAATAAAAAAAACTAATCATTCATGAGTTTTAACATATGGTATGGAAAGAAATATGTTACTCTGACTTATTAAAGAGCTTATTTCAGAATTGTGCAGTCTAAAACACTTAGATGCAACGTATATGCAAGCATGCTTGGTGTGGGGGATTGCTTTTCAGTCAATGAGTCGATGCAATCTACTGATTTTCCTAGATAGAAAACTGTGATTCAATCTGACTGTGTGATCTGGTTGAATCGTCTCTGTAAAGTGCCCTGAGATGATATTTGTTGTGAATTAGCACTAATATAAACGGAATTTAATCGAATCAAACTTTCCAGATTTTCTTTCACTATTTGCAGAATTATGTTGAAAGTAAACGCAATAATATAGCTGCAAAAAAAATGAAGCAGATGCTTTGAGCAACTCTGTCCTTGTTTGCAACTTTCCTCTTTTTGTATGGAAAAACAACATTTGCAGGCCATAGCAATTTCTGGAAATAATTCATGACAGACTATAAAATCATTCTTCTGTATAAAACATTCTGGTGTGAAACAGGTTACATCCAGCTTTGGGCTACAAAATCCCCTTAACTGCAGGGAAATAGTTGAACTTCGTTGAAGCTACAACAGAATTAGGAAATAAATGTTTTGTTTTATTTTTTTTAAAGGCCAGGGTGGAGTTCAAAGTGCATTCTGTTTAATAATTTCTATGAGCAAGTATTCAAATATCATTTTTGTGTTTCTAAAGCAAAGCAAAATAACTTTTTAGAATAAAACATACAGTTTGATGTTTGTATCAGAAAAAGCTGTTATTGTATTGCTGATATTAATCTTTGTGAGAAGACAAGACTAATTGTTACAACATTAAAGAACATTTGAATGTAGATTAGTTACATATTTAAACTGTGGGTGTCTGATGGTAGTTGGAGGGCCCCCAAATCAAATTCTGTTTAGAGCCTCAATAAACTTTAAACTGGCTCTGTGTGTCAACATATACAGCTCCTTTTGTAATCCCTTATCCCTTATCTTCCTCTAAACACCAATAATGTGTGACTAAGCATTAACATACAGCATGCCAGGTGGAGCCAGCTGTCAGCTCAGACTTCTCCAGCAGAACCACATCCTTCATGCCAGCTTTGGCCAGGTGGTAAGCCAGGCTGACCCCCACACAGCCTCCACCAATGATGACGGTGTCTGCAGTGTCCTTCCAGCGCTTTCCCAAATTTGAGGAGGCATCACTAGAACATGCAGAGAAAAGGTGTAAGTGAATGCAGTCAGCGGCATGCAACAATATAATGCAACACTACAACGGCAATAACTTGTGCAATGAATAATGTTAAACTGGCTTTTAATACTTAGTACATGTTGTTTTATGTTTATGATTTCTTTTTTTATCTTTCTGTGAAGCACTTTTGAGTTCCTGGTTTTGTTGTAAAGTGCTAAATAAATAAACTTTGATTTGATAATGTGCACTTACTATTGAATACCCTGTGCAATAACCTGTTTCTTTATATTTGACACCCAGTGCAATAACTATACATATAAATATCCATCTAATAAATACCCATGTTAACAACCTGTGCAATAACCCTGTGCAATAATCCAGCTTTATTTAAAAAAAAAGCTGCCATATACACTTTATACAGTATATCCCATGCACCTTTGTCTTCCTTTGGCACCTTCTTCTTTTCTTTTGACTATTTGAGCTGATGTAACAAGTACATTTCTACACTGTGGGATCAATAAAGTCAATTAATCAAATGCACAGCTGTTGATTACTGCATTGATCAGATGTTGTATGCTTTGGCTGGAGATCAATGCTCATAAGTGATTAGAAATGTAGTGAAAATGCTTGCTCAAATGTGCAACGCTGCACTGACTTTAAGTACCATGACATAATTTAAAAAATATATTTGGAATAATTCAAATAATTTAGGTTTGATTTCCTAGTTTGGTCCAAATAATCCAGAAAAAGATCCGCCTCACCCTTCCTCTGCATGCTGCCTTGGGGTGTAGCAGATGGTCCTCAGGGGGAGCCGCGCAATCCCCCCACAGACTGTGAAGTCTTTGCGCAGCTGGTGGCTGACGAGCTTTAATATTCTGGACATTGCTGCGCTCTGACAGAAAGACAGAAAAGCAAAGAAGCTTTAGAACACAGGCGGGCCCCCTGTGTTTGGACCCCTGGACTGATCTGTGTAGTTACAAATATTCCACTTTTACCCTGACAGGCGCATTGGCCCGCCCAGGAGAAAGTTTACCAGGAGTTAACTCTTTGTGCGCCGAAGTTTTGCAAGGCAGTCATGAAGAAATGGGGAAAAATTATTGTTCTTTAAATAGAAAAGGGGGGAAGAGAACTGTTCTGAAATTGCTACATTTAACGTTTTACCTGCAAAAAAAATAAAAAATCTAATCCCCTCTTTAGTAACAATTATATCCTATGGCTTCATCAAAACCTAGCCTATGTATCTGTATTTATATTTCTGTTTTATTCTAATTGCCAATAAAGATTTCGGATTTTTCCTAAATCCATTTTTGGGGATGGAGACACATTTTAACTTTAGCCAATCAGAAGAAGACCTCCCGGAGAGCTTTGCACTAAGACAGCCACTTAAGCAAGATCCAATCCATATGATGACTAGTTTTGCTAAGCTGTATTTTTACCTGCAGCTAATTTACTGTAAAGATTCAATTCAGTTTATTTATATGGCGCCAATTCACAACATATGTCATCTGAAGGGACTTTACAGTTCACTAGATTATACAGTCAAATTGATTCAAAGTTTTCTATCTAAGGAAAACCGGCTTGCAATCCCTCACACTAAGCATGCTTGTAGCGACAGTGGAGAGGAAAAATTCCCTTTTAATAGGAAGAAACCACCAGCAGAACCAGGCTCAGTGTGAGCGGCCATCTGCTGAGGCCGACTGGAGTTCAGTGAGACAGAAGCAGAGATAAAAAAAAAAAAGCAGCTGTAAAAGGAGGCCCCGTCCAGGAAACACACAGCCAGTCAGACGGGCTCCGAGCCAGCTCCCATGTCAGAGGATGAAGAGAGCTCATCCAGCCAGTCACAGTCAGAGAAACAGGACTACACTGGAAAAACAGGTTGATCTCCAACATCTATAAACAGAGGTGTTGGCAGCAGCAAAGACAAAAATAGAAAACAAGAACCAAGAACAGCCAGTAGGGGGCATCTCCTGAGGTTCAAAATACAATAAATGTTTTTTTTATGAAATCACTCAACTTTTCTTTTGAGCTGCACCCCTGTAAATGTGCATTGTTTATTTTGGATATACACTCACCGGCCACTTTATTAGGTACACCTGTCCAACTGCTCGTTAACACTTAATTTCTAAGCAGCCAATCACATGGCGGCAACTCAGTGCATTTAGGCATGTAGACATGGTCAAGAATATCTCCTGCAGTTCAAACCGAGCATCAGTATGGGGAAGAAAGGTGATTTGAGTGACTTTGAACGTGGCATGATTGTTGGTGCCAGAAGGGCTGGTCTGAGTGTTTCAGAAACTGCTGATCTACTGGGATTTTCATGCACAACCATCTCTAGGGTTTACAGAGAATGGTCCGAAAAAGAAAAAACATCCAGTTCTGTGGGCGGAAATGCCTTGTTGATGCCAGAGGTCAGAGGAGAATGGCCAGACTGGTTCGAGCTGATAGAAGGGCAACAGCAACTCAAATAACCACCCGTTACAACCAAGGTGAGCAGAAGGGCATCTCTGAACGCACAGTACGTCGAACTTTGAGGCAGATGGGCTACAGCAGCAGAAGACCACACCGGGTGCCACTCCTTTCAGCTAAGAACAGGAAACTGAGGCTACAATTTGCACAAGCTCATCGAAATTGGACAATAGAAGATTGGAAAAACGTTGCCTGGTCTGATGAGTCCCGATTTCTGCTGCGACATTCGGATGGTAGGGTCAGAATTTGGCGTCTACAACATGAAAGCATGGATCCATCCTGCCTTGTATCAACAGTTCAGGCTGGTGGTGGTGGTGTCATGGTGTGGGGAATATTTTCTTGGCACACTTTGGGCCCCTTGGTACCAATTGAGCATCGTTGCAACGCCACAGCCTACCTGAGTATTGTTGCTGACCATGTCCATCCCTTTATGACCACAATGTACCCAACTTCTGATGGCTACTTTTAGCAGGATAATGCGCCATGTCATAAAGCTGGAATCATCAGACTGGTTTCTTGAACATGACAATGAGTTCACTGTACTCAAATGGCCTCCACAGTCACCAGATCTCAATCCAATAGAGCATCTTTGGGATGTGGTGGAACGGGAGATTCGCATCATGGATGTGCAGCCGACAAATCTGCGGCAACTGTGTGATGCCATCATGTCAATATGGACCAAACTCCCTGAGGAATGCTTCCAGCACCTTGTTGAATCTATGCCACGAAGAATTGAGGCAGTTCTGAAGGCAAAAGGGGGTCCAACCCGTTACTAGCATGGGGTACCTAATAAAGTGGCCGGTGAGTGTATATCTTTTTTTATAGAAAGGAAATATGGTATTTCCTATTTCTGTTAACATTTAACAAAGTGTTAGAATAAAGTGAAACCACTCTAGCCAGTTTCTATCATACTGAAAAGCTGAGTTATGTTCTAAGAACAGAGTCACACCTTTATAGAATGCTTAAAGTTGAAGCACGAAAAAGGAGATTAACGTGCTGACTGCAGTCCTACTATCCGCTAATAGCCTTGCATGACTTTACCATTCAAATTTAAGCTTTAAAATATAAAGGAAAACAATATAATTATGAATGGAGCTGGTAAAGTACTATCTGTACCAAGGATTTAAGATACAAGAGGTAAAAAAAAAAAACATTTACACCCAGAACTTCTATATTATACATCAGCCATATTGGACACTGAACTGAGGGCTGCTTGGCAACCCCTTTAGTTTCAATACAGTATTTCTAATTTCTGTCTGTGGACCCAAAAAAACAAAAGTACAAATGCGAAGCACCATGACTCAAAAAAACAGTGGGTTTTAATCATTTTTTTGGGTGTGTACGTAATGAAAAAAAACTTGATAACATACAGGTGCTGGTCATAAAATTAGAATATCATGAAAAAGTAGATTGATTTCAGTAATTCCATTTAAAAAGTGAAACTTGTATATTATATTCATACATTACATACAAACTCATATATTTCAGATGTTTATTTTGTTTAATTTTGATGATTACAAATGACAACAAATGAAAATCTCAAATTCATCATATCAGAAAATTAGAATATTACTGAAGACCAATAAAAACAAAGGATTTATAGAAATGTTGGCCAACTGAAAAGTATGAACATGAAAAGTATGAGCATGTACAGCACTCAGTATTTAGTTGGGCCTCCTTTGGCCTGTATTACTGCAGCAATGCGGCGTGGCATGGAGTCGATCAGTCTGTGGCACTGCTCAGGTGTTATGATAGCCCAGGTTGCTCTAATAGTGGCTTTTAGCTCTTCTGAATTGTTGGGTCTGGTGTATTGCATCTTCTTCTTCACAATACCCCATAGATTTTCTATGGGGATAAGGTCAGGAGAGTTTGCTGGCCAATTAAGAACAGGGATACCATGGTCCTTCAACCAGGTACTGGTAGCTTTGGCACTGTGTGCAGGTGCCAAGTCCTGTTGGAAAATGAAATCTGCATCTCCAAAAAGTTGGTCAGCTGCAGGAAGCATGAAGTGCTCTAAAACTTCCTGGTATGTGGCTGCGTTGACCCTGGACCTCAGAAAACACAATGGACCAACACCAGCAGATGACATGGCACCCCAAACCATCACTGACTGTGGAAACTTTACACTGGACTTCAAGCAATGTGGATGAAGTGCCTCTCTTCTTTTCCTCCAGACTCTGGGACCTTGATTTCCAAAGCAAATGCAAAATTTACTTTCATCAGAGAACATGACTTTGGACCACTCACCAGCAGTCCAGTCCTGTTTCTCTTTAGCCCAGGCAAGACGCTTCTGACGCTGTCTGTGGTTCAAGAGTGGCTTGACACAAGGAATGCGACAGCAGAAACCCATGTCTTTCATACGTCTGTGTGTGGTGGTTCTTGAAGCACTCACTCCAGCTGCAGTCCACTCTTTGTGAATCTCCCCCACATTTTTGAATGGGTTTTGTTTCACAATCCTCTCCAGGGTGCGGTTATCTCTCTTGCTTGTACACTTTTTTCGACCACATCTTTTCCTTCCCTTCGCCTCTCTATTAATGTGCTTGGACACTGAGCTCTGTGAACAGCCAGCCTCTTTAGCGATGACCTTTTGTGTCTTGCCCTCCTTGTGCAAGGTGTCGATGGTCGTCTTTTGGACAACTGTCAAGTCAGCAGTCTTCCCAATGATTGTGTAGCCTATAGAACTAGACTGAAAGACCATTTAAAGGCTTTTGCAGGTGGTCTGAGTTAATTAGCTGATTAGAGTGTGGCACCAGGGGCCATCAATTTTGAACCTTTTCACAATATTCTAATTTTCTGATATGATGAATTTGAGATTTTCATTTGTTGTCATTTGTAATCATCAAAATTAAACAAAATAAACATCTGAAATATATGAGTTTGTATGTAATGTATGAATATAATATACAAGTTTCACTTTTTAAATGGAATTACTGAAATCAATCTACTTTTTCATGATATTCTAATTTTATGACCAGCACCTGTAATTATCAGCATTCTGTGCATAGGTTATCTGCCTAACTTAGATAGGGCTATTAAAGATGCATATTAAAAATAGTTTTTGTTTAATATCTAAAACATTAAAACTATGAGTTATTGAAGCAGAGCAAAAAAATACTCTTTTTTTTGCATTCTTTGGTTTATTACATATATATCCATCATATTGGATTTTAAGGTTTAGATTGGTATTAAGACTTATACTGACAAAGTCAAGATTTGAACCTAAAGAAATATTCCAGTCTAACTTCAACTGGAAATTTGTAAATCCTGGCTTTCATGCGAAAATTGGAATTCATTACTTTTTTCTAATTTCCTGTACACCTCTATCTTTCAGCGGAAGCCCTATGCTACGCTCCGTTTAGGTATCCTAGCAGTGGGAACTCAAATCTGAAAATACTTTACTATTATTAATGCTCTAACTCTATTTTATCTGATATAGAATTAAGAACTTTTAATTGAGGTTTTAAAGGTGGACAAAGGAAGATGAAAATCACTATTAAATAACTATTCTG